TCTGGCATTGTTTCTGCATCTTCTAATCTGTTCCACTGGTCCTCAAGCCTGTTTCTTTGCCAGTACCATGCTGTTTTTAACACAGTAGCTTTGTAGTATAGTTGCAGGTTGGGGATTGTGATACCCCCTGCCATGTCTCTGTTACCTAGAATATGCATCTGCTTTGTTACTTCCTGTGCTATCAGTTCAGGGTGTCCAAATGGTTGCTTATCAGAGTTTTCCACTTCATTTCCCCAGAATTTCCTTTTTGTGGTGTGGAAGACTGCATTTGTGCCATGCTTAAATATCTTCTCATTTTTGTTTTTGGTACTGTCCTTGATTTAATTCCTGGGTTGATATTTCAGGATTGCTTAATGTAAGTATCTTTGTTGCTTTTGTTTAAAACCCCTGTGGAATGTTTGCTTTTCAGAGGTGTCTTCTAGATATGGCTTGTGTTTGGGTTTTGAGACTCTAATGACTCTGAAGCTATTATATTTTTCTTATACCAGGAAGGAAAACTAATTAGATCAATCACAACATGTTAGCCCAAATGACATAGTCAGCAATACTATAGCATCAAGCACAGCTTAGAAAATGACAGTTTGTGGTAGTTATTAATCTATCACTTTTAATTATGTGAGTTAAATTAAAACCAAGGACCAACCCAAAAGAAGTTTATAATGAATAAACTCTTCAATATAGCATCTTTCCCCTTTGGGGTGGGGAGTGAAAAGGAGTTGGCGAGGGAGGGACAGGTAGAAAGAACAGGTAAGATTAACGGTGAGGCCAGAAGACACAGAAAAATCACACAAACTCTAAGAAGTTGTTAAAGGCAAGAGAAAATGGCAGAATGAAAGAACAAAGATGTGAATAGAATGACCTAACAGCAACAGGGAGGCTAGATACCAAATTTACTTTCCTTTAAACCTAATGATAATGAAGAGAAGGAAAAAGAGAAGAAAAGAACAGCAAGGGAAAAATCCGAATTCAGTGCAGAAAGGAACAAATGGGTAGATAAGGGGCAATGTGGGACAGTGAGAGAATGAGAGAGCGAAAGAAAAGATAAAAGAAAGAAAAGAAAGAAAAGCAAAACTTTGAAGAGTAGAAAAAAAGTAATAATTAAGAATTAAAAATAAGAAAAAAATGTTTTCTTTTTTGCAAATAGCAATAGAAATTATGGGCTTCCTTCAGGGTATGTCTCTGTTGTCACAGCAGGCAACGTAGGGATCCCTGTGCATATACAAGTCAATGAGTCTCAGCAAGCCAGCAACAGACCAAGTACAGTGGTTTGATGTGCCTTTATTGTAGAGGTTCTCTTTACTTTCCTGCTGAGCTTCAGTTTTCTTCCAGGAGCCTGAGAAGCCCTCTTTCTGTTACTAACTTCTGCTCTATCTTGTGGCGCTCAGGACAAGGGTCTTTATAATCTCCTGTGCCTCTGTCGTGTGGGACCAGGAAGCAGAAAAGCCAGAAGGTAGGAGGTGCGGGGGCGGGGGGCGCCTAAGCGGACCTCACCGTGCCATGGGCGTGGCCCGGGACGGCCGCAGGAGCTTCAAGCTGCTTGTCTGGTCTCACCGGAACGGTCGGACGGTCGCCGCAGTTTAGAGAGCATAGGGTGGGGGTGGGGCTGCAAGGCCCGGGCGGATGACAGTTTTGTAAGCATTTCCCCATCTCTCGATCATGGTACACAATGTTAATCAATCTTTTTCAGGGAGGTCAGACATAACAAAGGGATTTATCTTCAGACTGGGCTGTGGGCAGTTACCAGTTATGTATTGTCTTAAAGAAGAAAGTCTATTTCTCATCTTTGTCCACTAATGCCTAACTTAACCCACTTCCCTTCCTGCAGTGAATCTTGGATATGTATGCCTCTGAAATGTGGCTTGGTCTTTGGGTCCAGAAGCAGTAATAGATGACATTCAAGAAACTCTTGGTGGAGGGCAAAACACTGAATAACACAGCATGCTTCCCTATGCATGGTCTACGAGCAAACCAATCATTGAACAAATATTTTAAGGGCCTTTTCTGTGCCCAGAAATGGTGATAGACTGGTGAACACACCAAAATTTTCTTCTTAAATGAACAGAATATTTAAAAGAACAATGTGAAAAAGTTTCAATGCTATGTAAAGAATTAAGTCATATGTCTTTCCCTCTATGCCCTTTTTCTTTCTTAAGCTTACTACCTGGTTTCTGAACCTAACCCTATGTCTGTGATTGAAATTGTGGACACTTGGACATTGAATTTGGTTTTGAAAAAAAATGAAAAGTAAAATAGATGGAGTGCGTGCGTGGTGGTGGTGGTGAGATGTAATTTGTGAAGAGGGATTTAAATGTGAAGTGAAACAGGTGATGGAAATATCAAATCAGGTAGGGACATTCAAACTGTTTTGACAGAAATGTAAATGATTCCATGAGTAGCCCTGCAAGAGCAGAGCGGGACTAATTTACAGTCAGTTGAATGAAGAGATTTTTATCTTGTAAAAGATTTCAGTTGTAGAATCGTCCTGTGCTACATGGGCAAGGTGTTGTGGAAAGCTCTCAGATAACATAGATTTATCTACCCCCAACCAAAAGCAATTGCATTTCTAGAATAATTGCCTGGAAGTTTCATAAATTTTAAATGTTATGATTAGATATACTATGTGTCTACTTTGATGATGTAATCTATCTTGCAAAATGGGTTACTTTCGTGACTGAGACAAAAATCAGAGGAACAAGGCAGGACTGTTCCATCCAAACCGGGGCACATAACCAGCCAAATGACCCAAATGGCTGACAGCCAGGTGGAGAAATCATAGTTTCTGCTGTCTAGAGTTCACATCCTGAGGAAAGAGGCGTGATGGAACATTCTGTGACTGGGAATTTTGAGTTTGGGGATGTGAGTAGGGGTGAAATTGCACTTCCTGCCTGTCCATGGGAGATAAAATCAGAGCTGGAAGTGCTGATAGTGCTCAAAGCCCCGGGTCCTTTTGAAAGACTGTGTGACACAGACCAGTGGACAAAGAAGGCATCCTACCTCTTTCTCTTGGAAAATCCATAAACATGAAGCTGTTTCTGGTTCTCATTGTTCTGCTGTCTCAGGTACTCACAGGTAACTGTCCAAATGTACCATAAAGATGTAGGAGATATCACTGCTCATACGAGTGGGGACAAGACCTTTGAGATTGTTGCTCTCTGGCCAGTATCATCAAAAGTGCCTGTTTTCCTGGGCATCTGTCTTGAGTCTGTGTCTTAGAAAAGAGCAGCCAGGGAAGTCAGAGGAAGGCTGTATTCTTGAGTCCTCTCCAAAGGTTATCTAGAATTAACTTTTGGATGCTGAACACAGTTTTCACCCAAGAACCTGGCCATCCCCTTCCACTCAAGTTTATGTTCCATCTGTGCTACAACAGTAATGGGGATGGCATACAGTTAGTTTGATGTCATGTCCATGTGAGATTAAAATATATCTTCATCATCATGAGTGACTTATTCCCTTTGGATCTCAATTTTCACCTTTGTCAAGTGTAATGACTCTATTTCAAGTGAGGATTATAAAGGTGGGAAATGTGAAGCACCAAGTTCACAGTAGGAGCCCTATCAGTGAAAGGTACTTTCTTCCTAGCAAGGAAGAAGGCAAAGAAGGGTCTTTCTGGGGCTCTCAAAATACACCTCTCTAATCTTCAAAGACATTTCACATATTGTGAAATCTAGAATAGGGAGAATACATCTCTGACTCTATCTTTGTGATGTGTGGGCTGATCTGTGAATTAGGTGAAAATTAGGATGAGAAATAAGAATTTTAGGACCTGAGTATATTACTGCAAATAGGTGACAATTTGGATCTCAAGGGGGACAGATATTCATGGAACTGAGTTTGATCCCCAGGCAAAACATTTATCTGAGATTAAGAGGTAAGTGGGGGGAAGTGAGAGGAGGAGCCAAACCCTGGAGGAGCCCTGCAGGCTGGACAGGAGAAGGAGTTTTCAGCAGCACTTATTGTTAAGACCAAGGATCTTGGCAAGGAGAGATCTGCTGTCCATATAAGTGAATGTGAGGCCCAATTATGTGGTTACTTAAAAAAATCTTTCTGTGATTTAAAAGAAAAGTTGATTTGACTGAATGGTGCTGATGGTGACAAGTTAGTGCTCTCCAGTGACATAGAACTGAGGCATTGCTGACTTTGGAGCATGGAGCAGAGATTTCCAGGGTCCTTGGGTTGTAGTATAGCCCTGTAACCAGGAATTGAGCTCTTTTCTTTGTCATATATGTTCCAATGTTCCCCGTGCCAACTAGGCATTGGCCCAGAGCCTGGGGTTTTGACTGTCCTTCATTTGGGATGATTTTCTCCCATCAGCATACAGCTCACTTTGGGACTACAGGAGGCCATGACTTGTGGGGAACCACATGCCTCTTCTGTTCATCCTCAGAAATTAACCTGTTCCTATGATTTTTCCTATGCACAGCTTGGGCAAAACCCCCAAGATGCTTTAATAATGTGGCAGGCTACTGCAAGAAGAAATGCAAAATGGGGGAAATATCTGAAATGGGATGTCTACATGGAAAATTATGTGGTGTCAATGAAGAGGAAAACAAAAAATACCACAAATCCCACCAACCACCTCCACAATCTGATCAGAAGGTTGCAGAGGTGTACGACTATGTCATTTACCCCACCGTCACACTTGTTTCGATCCTGTGAACCAAGCACTTGATTCCTTCGTCTCCACTTGTCCTAAATCAGATGCAAATGAAGCCCAGCAGGTAGCAGTCAGAGATGTATCTACTTCCTTATGTGAACTTGATTCCTCACTTAATAAAGTCCTATGCTTTTGCCTATATTTATTTGTTGATTTTTTACTCATTTTTTGAATACTTCAAACATGAATAAATAACTGCCATGCTCAAGGCGCTACACTAGTGAGACAGGGCACAGAGACATGAAATGAACACGTTAGGAGGGGTGAAGACTAGCATGTTCTATGCAAGACAATATTTCATAGAATCTCAAGTATTTCTTTTCTTTAGAAAAATTGAAATTGCTTATGCCTAAGAAGATCTGAATGCCTCAGGTAGCGCTCTCTCTCTCTCTCTCTCTCTCTCTCTCTCTCTCTCAATATAAAGGGTTTTGCTAACAACCAAGAATTCATTAAAGGGAGGAAAAATATTTGAACATTTTAATAACATTTATCAGGGCAGATCTGATGGGTAGTGAAGACAGCTAGTGATAATTACAATATGTCATTCAAAACTCATTTAATGTGCTTGCTCCAAATCCTTTTTCAGTAGCAATTTGAACATTTAGTCGATATGATTGTTAGACAAATGCTACAGTTAGGATATTTGAAAGCATTGTATATTCTGTTTATTCAATGGTGTGAAATTTAAAGCCTTGTGAATGAGGGGACATATTTAAGAATCACTTCATGAGCTAGATAGAATTGCAGTAGGTCATGATGGCAGGAAGTGCTCTTCAGATGAGCAAAACAGAAACTTTTGTGGTAACATCAATGTTGTTGCTTGAGTTAAAACATTGGCTGTAAATAACTTATACACTAACATTTATTCACATGGAGTAAAGAAACTGATAACTTTGTTCCTCTATGAGCAGCTCATCATCTTATTTTACTGGGAGGGAGGACAGAGAGGCAAATATTTAGATGGAAATATTACAGTTTCAAAAGCACACAATAACCTTCCTTTTAATAGCTATGGCATTTAAGAATTCTGGGGAAGTATATAGAAAATAATGACTGGACTTCATTGCAGCTTTTAAAATTTTTGTTGGGATTTCGTCACTATAGAGACTAATGTATGGATATTTTCAACTGAATCCTGAGAGTCTTAGTAATAGGGATCACGCAAGAAAACCTTTCATTGTAACATTCTCTTTTTCTGGGTTTCACCACAGGTCCACCAGGGACATTTTAGGGTGTGTCCATTCTGTCATTCTGACACAAAGTGCGTCTGCCCATTGTTTTTAAAATATATACCCTACATTAGTCCCCTGATGAATTAGATATAAGATTCCATTTTGGTTGAGTTAGTGTCAGGGAAGTATCTGTAACCAAACAGATAATTAAGCCTTGAATTCTACTTTGATGAGATGGATCTAGTCTTTGACTTTTCCCCTATTATCTTGTATTCCTTCCATACTCATAGGGGAGGTGAGGATAGGCAGTATTGTTAGGTCTCCTTTTCTGTCTTATTTTTACATAAAAATAAATAAAAGTCCTATATTGCTATCATTTACCCTTTTGATACAGGCAGTATTATTGGTACTTTTTTTTTTGGATCTGTCTTAGAACATTCTCAAAAATCTTACTCACATATCATTTTAAATTATTTTTTTATTTCGGTAAAGGAGTAATTTTATATGTTTTAAATATTATGATATGCTAGTTTTAAAAATTCCTTTGTTTTTGATTAATGTGTAACAGCTGTATGTATTTATGGGGTACAGCATGATATGTCAACACAAGAATACCCTGGTCAAATAAGGGTAATTAACATTTTCATTTTTTAAATTATTTCATTATGTTTGGAATTTTGAAGCTCTTCTAGTTCTTCATAAAATATATAGTAGCTATTTTGAATTATATTCTCCCTTTTGTACCGTGGAACCCAAGAACTTATTCCTTCTAACTGTCTTTTGATATTTATTATCCAACCTCCCACTCTTGCCTCCCTTACCACCCATCTATAGCAATCACAGTCATACATTCACACTGACATTTCTTAAACTTCCACATTTGAGAGAGACTATATTATATTTGTTCTTCTGTGTCTGGCTTATTTCACTTAACATAATATCTCCCAGTTCCATCCATCTTGGTGAAAGCAACAGAATTTCATTCTTCTTTATGGCTGAATGATGTGGTCCTTTTATCATCTAATTAGCATGTTATATACAATACTTATTTCATAATGTTGTAATCACCACACCCCTATTTGGAAGAAGGAAGAATGGAGAGCACACAGAAATCACTCGCTCATAGCAACTTGAACCACACTGGGATGTGTGATATACCCCGTACTCTGGGGGTGTAGGGTGGAAACCTTCCTTGATAAGGATTCAGTTCTGCTCTCTAAGAGAGGCTTCACAGCCCAATATTCTGCACAGCTCAGGGCTCTTCCCTCTGAGATGTCTCACCTTTATCACCCTCCCTTGGCCACTTCTGAAGAGGGCCTTGGAGACTACCATATTTCTATCTTGATAGACAGTTTGATTTTCATCTTGCTTTCTGCCTTTAGAAATTTGGGGCCCAGATGTTTTTATATAGTCTCATTAATTTCATGCTCATTAATTTTTTTGCTAATACAGCTCTCTCAAAAAATTGTGAGTTTTCTATACCTTTGATTCCAGGCAAATTCACATATTAGAATATGTATCTACAGTTTTTTAAAAGACATAATTTTCTTTGTAGATTTAATGGATAGATCATTTTAAAATTGCCAACCTGTTACAGATACAGTTTTTTTCTTAGTTCCAACAATTTGAACCACCTAGTTCTTTAAGGCTCCTAGATCAAAGCTCATGAGAGGTACCAGAGATATGAGTCATTTCTACCCATACTTACCACCTCTTCTTAGAAAATTTCCAAATAGCTCTTCTCAGCAAAACCTATTCCTTTTTTTCCATTTTTTCTTTTTTGTTGAGACAAGGTCTTGCTATGTAGACCAGGTTGGGCTCAAACTCTCAATCTTCCTGCTTCAGCCTCCTAAGTGCTGGGATTGTAGGTGTGTGCCACCACAGCCAGAATCAGAGAATTTATTTCTCTGGATACTGGCAAGAGACCAAAGGACCAGATAACCTTGTAATCTTGGATGAACATAATTGGACCAGGGAGGCAACAGATGTATGTGTAGAGGCTGAACCTACTTCTTTGGATATCCAACTTGGATCTAGTACACCAATGAACAAGAAAAGATGGAGGGAAAGAAAAGAAGGAAGAAAGAAAGAAGAAAGGAAGGGAAAGGGAGAGAGATTGATAGATTGACTTCTGGTTCCTTGTTCTAGTCTTTTTGGCTTCATGTGATTGCTAAATATATATATATATATATATATATTGGTACCGGGGATCAAACTCAGGACCTTGCGCTTGTGAGGCAAGTGCTGGAACCACCGAACTAAATCCCCACTAAACATTTTTTGTAATAGTCCCTCCTTTTCTGAAATGAGTTTGATGAATTCATATTTCTTATAGCCTGACATCTTACACATGACAAATTGTATATAGAACAAGTTCTTAGGCACAGAGTTATAAAAAGAGAGGGGTTGCTCCTTAGTAAAACTTAATTAGCAAAGACTAGAATAATGACAATGACAACAATTAAGGTCCATTTCAACAGTTGTTTCTATACCCAAGTACTTAAAATAAGATATGATCAAAACAACTTTATGATGATATTGTGCTTTCTTGGATAAATTCTAATTTAACCTTAGTTACTCAGAAGCTCTTTGGGATACGTAAATATTCTTCACCCTGGTTTGGTACTTTTCAAATTTTGAAAGATTAGTCAATTGATACTACCAGAAAACATGACTAAACTACTAGAAAATAATTATAAGGAAAAAAATTCACACATTACCACTAAACAGTCCCTATCCAAATAACACATTATCTATCAGACAAGTATAAAAAGCCCCGGTGTCATTTAATGTTATTTTCTGATTCCAAGGATCAGGTCACACAAGCACATCTGAAATTCCTCTACTGTGTCAACTGGGAAACATGAAAATGCCACGATTACAATCCTTTAGCATTTTGCACTATGTCTCAACATGGTACGAGTTGGAGGACGATTATTTATAGTGTCTAAAAAGTAAAATGAATTATGGTTCATAGTGAAAATACAGTTGATTGACTTGAAGTACTAAAATTAAAAATAATTTGTATTCTTAGTTCTAATTAGTGGTATGATAATTCAATACATGTATATAATGTGTTACCATCAAGTCAGGGTAATCAGAATCTTCATCTCCTCAAATATTTATCATTTCTATATGTTGGAGACCTTTCAACTCTTCTCTTCTAGCTATTTTGAGTATGTAAAGAATTATATAGATTACAGTTACCATACTGTGCTATGGAACACTACAACTAATTCTTCCTATCTAGTGATTTTGGAATTCATTATCCAGTGAATCTTTGTATATCTCACTTTTCTCTTCCTCAATCCTTCCTAGACTTTAGAGACCATTATTCTACAACACTCATAAATATGAACACATACTATGAATCAATTTTTAAAAAGTAAGCCAGGTGTTCTGGCTCATGTCCTTAGTTCCAATACGGTGGGAGGCCAAGGCAGGAGGATTGTAAGTTTGAATCCTGCTTGGGTAATTTAGTGAGACCCTGTCTCAAAATAAAAAACAAAAACGTCTGGTGATATAGTTCAGTGTGAAGGTCCTGAGTTCAATCCCCAGTGCCAGAAAATAAAATAAAATGGAAGATAGTGAGATAATGTCTATAACCACTCAGCATTAACTTGGCACATTGTAAATTAGCAGAATAATAAATAATGCCAATATTGTAAAAAAGGAAAAATGTCTTTATATGTGTTGTTAGAGTCAATATCTCATCCTAATGCATTTATAAGGTATATTTTCATTGTTCTTTATTTAAACAAACTGCTGAAATTTATTATTTTTCCCTTCCATAAAGTCACTTTTTTTTCAAACAAAAAGGATAGTGGTAAACATTATCATGACAAGAAGGGGGGAAAGTTGCTAAGTTGAGAAGAAGAATGCATATCAAGCAACACAACTAATACAACACACACACAACCTGGAGTTTACATAGAACTTGGCTA